ACACCTCTAGTCCCCCAAAACGCGGTTCCCCCCTCCCCCACCCCGACTTCCCAAGGATGTTTCATCCAGGGGGAGGAGCCCAGGCATCCAGGAGAGGGGGGGGACACCCAGGCATGACCCCCCGCCGCCATGAGATCTCCCCCAACCTCCTCAAATCCCATCAGGCCACCGGAGCCCCCCTAAACCCTCCCGGTAGCCGAGGATGCTCCAGCCGGAGGAAAAGACCGGGTGGGGGGGGGACCTAGGCATCCGGGGGCCTGACCCCTCCCTCCATGAGACCCCGTGCCTCCCACCACCACCCTCAAACCCCCAAAACCTCCCATCTAAACCCCTGGTATCCAGGGATGCTCCAGCCAGGGGGACAGGACTCTGGCATTCAGGAGAGGGACTCCCCACTTCCATAGGACCACCCAGGGCCCCCAGGACCCTTCCGAGCCCCCTCAGACCCCAGGGAGGACTGGGGTATCTGAGGCTTACACAGGTGTTGATTGCAGGGGCATCACCTGGGTCCCCTCCTGCGGGACAGGTCATGTGACCCCTTGTGCGAGGACAGGGCTGATGCAAGGGGGGCCCTGGGGCACGAGGGTCCCAGGGGTGTCCCCTAACGAGATGCTGCTAATGATGGGGGTGTTCGTTAGCAACGCTGGTAATTGGCACCGGGGGGGGGAGAGGGGGGGCCCTGGACACCTGGGTCCTGGCGGGTTTGTCACGAGGGGGGCTGTCACATGAGGACCCCCTGGCTCACACTCCCTTCCCACTGAAAGCGGCCCCCCCGGCGGGGCGGGGGGGCCATGGAGAACTGGCACCGGTAGCCGTGGCCCCGCACGAGGACCCGTCGCACAGGGACGACCATTGCACGAGGACCGAGGTGGACCCAGGTAGGGCCCTACCCCACCATACCTGGATGCCTGGGCCCCCCTATGATGATGGGGGCCTAGGGAGTTCCTACTCTGGATATGGGGTCAAGGGAATCCCCTACAGGGGATGGGCTTGAAGGGGTCTGCAAACTATAGATATTATTGAGGAGATGCCCTATAATGGGAGGGAGGGGTGTCCCTGCCCTTTCTATGGGATCAGGGTGGGCATTCTGGGCCCCCCTATGATGGAGGGGTGCTGAGGCAGGGGCACCTGTCCCATATTTGGGATCAGCATGGGGCTGGGTCACAGCACCCAGGTCCCCCAGGGTGTATCCCCACCCCACTGTATTGACACCTCCCTCCAACCCACAGGACCCCCACACACCCATGGCCCCCCCTTTCCTTCCCCTCTTTCCCCTCCCTCCCCCACCCTGGGCGCCACGGGGGGGGCCATCCCCGCCCCTGACCGCTGTCACCACCGTCGTCCTCATCGCCATCGCGGCTGTCGCAGCCTGTCCCGCCGTGTGTCGCTGTGCCGGCGGCCGCGTCTACTGCAATGACCGGGGGCTGACAGCCGTGCCCGAGGGTCTCCCGCCCGGCGCCACCACCCTATTCCTGCAGAACAACCGGATCGGCGACGCGGGGATCCCGGCGCGGCTGGGTCGGCTGCCGGCCCTGCGCGTGCTCTACCTGTACGCCAACGCTCTGGAGCAGCTGCCGGCACACCTGCCACCGGCACTGCGGGAGCTGCACTTGCAGGAGAATAACGTGCGCGGGCTATGCCGGCGGGCGCTGGCGCGGGCGCCGCTGCTCGAGCGCCTACACCTGGATGACAACTCGGTGTCGGCAGCCGGCATTGAGGAGGATGCCTTCGCCGAGAACCGCCGCCTGCGCCTCCTCTTCCTCTCGCGCAACCACCTAAGCAGCGTGCCGGCCGGGCTGCCGCCAGCGCTGGAGGAGCTGCGCCTCGACGACAACCGCATCCACACCATCCCGCTGCGCGCCTTCGAGGGGCTGCCGGCATTGCGGCGCCTGGTGCTGGACGGGAACCTGCTGGCCAACCAGCGCATGGCCGATGACACCTTCAGCCGCTTGGGCAACCTGAGCGAGCTCTCCCTGGGCCGCAACGCGCTTGCAGCCCCGCCGGCCAACTTGCCCCGTGCGCGGCTGCGCCGGCTCTCGCTGGCTGCCAATGCCATCAGCCACGTGCCGGCCGGCACACTGGCACGGATGAGGGCACTGGAGCGACTGGACCTGTCGGACAACAACCTGACAACGCTGCCTCGGGGACTCTTTGATGACCTGGGCAGCCTGAGCCACCTGGGGCTGCGCAATAACCCCTGGTTCTGTGGCTGCAACCTGGCCTGGCTGCGGGACTGGCTGCGCCGCCGCGCGCCGCCGCGCCTCGAGGTGCGCGGGCTGCTGTGCCAGGCACCCGCGCGGCTGCGGGGGCTGCCGGTGGGCGAGCTGCAGGGGGAGATGGACGCCTGCGAGACCCCTGCCGCGGGGGCTGGGGGGGCTTCCCCTGGCATTGCAGCCGTGTCCCCAGGGGCCTCAAATGGCGCTGTGGCCACCTCACCAGGAGCTGCAGCCACACCTGGGCTGTGGGTGCAGGCAGCACCAGGGGGGGCCCTGCGGGTGCGGTGGCCACCGGCCCCTCCCGGTGCATCCCTGCGGCTGAGCTGGCTGCGGCCTGGGGGGGGTGCCGTGACCGAGACGCTGGTGCGGGGGGAGCGGGGGGAGTACGTTGTGCGGGCGCTGCAGCCCCGTGCCCCCTACCGTGTGTGCCTCGCGGCCCTTGAGCCCCCTACTGCCCCCCCACTCTGCACACAGGCCCGTGCTGGGGCCGGGGACCCCCCTCCTGGCTCCCCTGGTGCCCCGGCCGGGGACACCCCCACCATGCTCCCCCCGGCTGCTGCTCTGGGGGCATCAGCAGCAGCGGCTGCTGGGGTGATTCTGGGGGTGCTGGGAGGGTGGTGGAGAAGGAGGAGGAGGAGGGGGGGGCTTGGGGGGGCACCCCCCCCGCCCCCCAAAATGAGCAGAGCAGGGCGGCTGCCACTGCGGCCCCTGCGGCCCCCTGATGAGGGTGGAATACGTACCGTGTACCCACCCCCGCCGCCCCCACTGCCCCTCCCCAGCGCTCGGGGGTACCGGGGGGGGCAGGTGCCCCATGGCGGGGGTGAGGGGGGTGGGGGGTCCTGATGGGGAGGCCCCCTCCTCCTGGGAAACCCCCATGTGTTGGGGATCCCCCTGGGGCTGTGGCCACTTGCCCCTGCTCTGAGGACATTTGGGGGAACCCGCCAGGGAGCTGAGGGGAGGGGTCATCCTGCACCTCCTCCACTTCCCTTTCGGGGCATTTTGGCTTTTTTAAGGTGTTTTTTTGGCACTGCAGCTTTTTTGGGGGAAAAATGGCAGATTTGGTGCAGGAATGGGATTGGGGGCAGAGACAGACCCAACAGCCTCAGTCCCTGCAGGACCTCCAGGAGGACCCCAGGCCTGGACAGAGCCTGGGAGGGTGGGGGCAGAGGGGACCCGGGGTTAGGGTGGTCGCCTGCTGCCCCTCCCCAGGTCTCTGCCCCCTCCCTTCCCCCCGCGAGGTGCCTTCACCCCTCCCCCTGCCCCTGCCGTTGGATTTGGGGAAAAAGGACCAAAATCAGGAAAAATCGACCCAAAAGGGCCGAGGGGGACCCTGACCCCCAAATAAACCCAGCGGCTCCTTTTCCTGCCAGCGCCTCTTTCCCATGGGATGGGGTAGGAGGCTGTCACCCGGAGGGAGTTCACACGAGGGGTCTCACAGGGAGGCGGATGGTGTGGGGAGGATCATATGGGGTCACTTAGGGTAATGAGGTGGTGGTGACACAGGGATCCCCTGGGGTAAGATGAGCAATGGGAATTTTGGGGAGGTATGAGGCCTTGCACAGGTGCTGGGGGGGGTCATGTCAGGGGAGGGGGATCATGCCTGGGTCCTGTCAAGGTCACACATGTGTCACTCAACACCCTCCTCCCCATCACCAGGGACCACCTTGCCTCCACCTACGTGATTCCCCTTGGCCTCCGGGAGGGTGGGGGGGAGAACGTGTGCAAGACCCCGCCCCCTGTGCAAGACCCGCCCCTCCCCCGAGACACGTTCGTCAGCTAGACCTCCGCGCCGCCGGGGGCGCACTTCCTTCTCCGCCCATCCCCCTTCCCCATGATAGACGTCACTCGCAGCCAATGGAGAAGTGGAAAATTCCAGAAGGGAATGCGGGGACCGGCCAATGGGCATCCGGCGCTGGGCGTCGCGGCCAATGGGAGCGGGCGAGGGCGGGCCCCGCTGCAGGCTTCCGGCGGGGGCGGGTCCGGAGGGGGCGGGCACCGTTTCCCCCGGTGGCCAATGGAAAGGCGGAAGTGCGGGCGGCGGCCAATTGGAGCGCGCGCGGGGGCGGGCGGGCGGGGCCGACGGCCAATGGGACGTGGGGGGCGGAGCCGGGGGGTTCTAGCAGCTTCCAGAGGGCGGCGCGGGAGCGGTGCGGGAGGAGTCGCGGCCATGGAGGAGGTTTGGGGGGGACGAGGGGGTTCGGAGGGTCCTGAGCGTCCCGAAGGCAGGCGGGAGAACCTTCGAGGCATCTCGGGGGGTCCCGGGGTTGGGTCTGGGGGGTCCTGGGGAGGTGGCCTGATGAGGGTCGAGGGGCCCTGGAGAGGGCGGGCAGGGCCCTGAGGGGATCGGAGGCCCCGTCCGGGGTCGGGGAGCTCCGAGAGGGATCGTGGGGCTCGGAGGAGCTTGGAGCAGTTTCGCACTGTTTAGGCGTCCCTGGGGTGTCCCGAGAGGGTGGCGAGCGGGGCCTAGGGGGAGCTGAGGGCACCGGGAGTGTGAGGGGCTTTTCGGGGTCCTTGAGGTGGCGGGGAGGGGGCTGGAAGGCGGTTTCGCGTTGTTTGGGGGCCCGGGGCCCCGGCTCTGTCCTCACATTCTTCTGTTTTTCTTCCTCCCTCTCCACTTGTACTGTATTTTCCCTCCTCCTTCCACGTTCCTCACTCACTTTTCTTCCTCCTCCTCTCTTGGTCCTCTGGCCTTTCTTTCTCCTCGCGCCTCTTCTCCTCCCTCACCCTTTCATCCTCCTCGTTTTCCTCTCATCTTGCTGCTTTTCTCCTGCCTGCTCTTCTGCCCTCCTCTCCCTTTCATGCTCTTCCTCACGGCCTTCTTTTCTCCTTCCTCGTCTCCTTTCTCTTCTTCCTTGCGATCTCCCATTTCCCGCGGTCCGTGCCTTCCCTCTGTGTTCCGTAGGCTCAGGAGCTGAAGGAACGGGGGAACCGGGCGCTGGCGGCGGGGGACGTGGGGGCGGCCGTGGGACACTACTCGGCCGCCATCGCGCGGGACCCCAACAACCACGTCCTGTTCAGCAACCGCTCGGCCGCCTACGCGCGGCTCGGGGACTACACCCGTGCCCTGGCCGACGCCTGCCGCACGCTGGAGCTGCGCCCCGACTGGGCCAAGGTGGGGGGGCTGTGGAGCCCTGGGAGCTCTGACCCTGGAGGTGCCCCACAGGGTCTGACCGTAGGAGTCCCCCTTGCCTGTCCCCCAGGGGTAGTCGTTGATGCTGGGGCATAGGAGTCTCTGCTGTGGCAGGGGTCAGGGTTCCCCTGGAGATGTCTGATCCCGGGGTCCCTCTTTGCTCCCCTTTCCCAGGGGTATTCACGGAAAGCAGCAGCGCTGGAGTTCCTGCAACGCCTGGAGGAGGCCAAGGCCACATATGAGGAGGGGCTGGCACGGGACCCCGGGAATGAGCAGCTGCTGCAGGGCCTGCGTGGGGTGGAGACACGGCTGGCGGGTATGGGGGGCTCAGGAGGGCTCTGAGGTTGGCCTGAGAGGGGTTGGAGGGTTTAGGCCTGAAAAAGGCGGGGGTGACAGGGGCTGGAGGGGCTGCAGGGACTGGAGGAGTTGCTGGGAAAGCTGCTTACAGGTCCCTGTGAGAGGCTTTGGGTGGCCCTGAGGGGTTTGGGGTCCCTGGGGAATTTTTCAGGTTTTCAGAATGAGACTGGGCATCCCAGGGAGGTTTTTTGGAGTCCCTATGAGGGTCCCTGACCTTCCCTGACCTAATTTCAGAGCGGAAACTGCTGAACCCCTTCAGTGCCCCTGACCTGCTGGCACGACTCGAGGGGGACCCCCGGACGCGGGCACTGCTGGGGGACCCTGAGTACCGGCGACTGCTGGAGACGCTGCGCAGCGACCCGGGGCAGCTTGGGGCGTCAGTACCGGGTCTCGGGAGGCCTCGGGGGGCTGGGAATGGGCCTCAGGGGGCTGGGAATGGGCCTCAGGGGGCTGGGAATGGGCCTCAGGAGGCCGGGGTGGGCTGGGAATGGGCCTCAAGGGGCCAGAGTGGGCTGGGAATGAGCCTCAGGGGGCCAGGGTGGGCTGAGAGGGGGCTCTGGAGGACTGGGGCAGGGATGGGAATGGGTTTGGGTGGCTTTGGGGTAGGGCTGGGGGGCGGGGGTGTAGGGCTGAATTTGGGGGACTTGGGGGTGTGTAGCCGATTTTGGGGACTTCAGGGAAGTAGCAGGGCCCTTGGGTGGGGGCCAGGGTACAGCTTTTGTGCGTGCTGCCCCCCTGCCGTATGTCAGGGTGTGGATTTCTGGACACCTCCTTCCACGTTCCCCTGTCCCCCCCAGAAGGTGTAGTACCCCCAGGGTGGGGGCCAGGGTGCAGATTTTGGGGTGCTGCCCCCTTGGGGGATGTCGGGGTGCAGATTATGGGATGCAGCCCCCCCGGTGGATATCAGGGTGTGGATTTTGGGGCACTTCCCCACGCACCCCTGCCCCTCCCACCAGGAAGCTGCAGGACCCCCGGGTGATGACGACGCTGAGCGTGCTGCTGGGGGTGGAGCTGAGCGGGGCTGAGGAGGAGGAGGAGGCCCCCTCCCCGCCACCCCCACCCCCCCAGCCCCCTGCCCAGCCCCCCCCACCCCAGGAGCTCCCCCAGAACAAGCAGGAGGTGAGGGGGTGTCCCCAAAACCTGTGAGGAGGGGAGGGAGGTATTTTGAGGACACACAACTCCCCTGCATACCTGAAGGGCAGCACGATAGACAAGGCGGGTGGGCGGGTTTGGGGCAGCTGAGGAGAGTTCTGGGGGGCTGTAGGGCAGGTTTTTGGGTGCTGGGGTTAGGGTTAGGGGATTTGGGAGCAGGTTTTGTGGTGCTGGGGGAGGAGTTGGGATTCAGGGAGGGTCTCAGCCAAGTTTGGGGTTGAGGTTTCCCTTCCAGTTTTAGGGTGATCTCCCTGTAGTAGGTGCAGCAGGAGAAGCAGTGGGATGATAGAGGAACTAGCAAGCTTTTGAAGGGGTCCCGACCAGTTTTGGCATGACCTCCCCCATCAGGGACAGCACGAGAAGAAAGCTGGGTGACGAGTGAGCAGGTTTTGGGTTTTAGGAGGGAGTCACAGCCACTTCTGGGGTGACACCCCCTGCCAGTCTCAGTGGGAGCACGAGCTGCATGATGGGGGGGCTGGCCAGGTTTTGGGGGTCTGGGCAGCAGATTTTAGGGTTTGGGGGGTCCCAGCCAGTTTTAGGGTGATGCCCCTCCATCAGGCACAGCAGGAGAAGGAGCTGGGCAATGCTGCCTACAAGCGGAAGGAGTTCCCGGCAGCGCTGGAACACTACACCCGAGCTGAGCAGCTAGACCCCACCAATATGACCTACGTCACCAACCAGGCGGGTGCGTGACCCCTCAGTCCCCTCTGAGCACCTCCAAAACCCTAAAACCCCCCTGAACCTCCAAATCTGGCCCGAAACACAGCTGTGTACTTCGAGATGGGCAACTACGAGCAGTGCCGGGCACTGTGTGAACGCGCCATAGAGCTGGGCCGGGAGAACCGGGAGGATTACCGACAGATCGCCAAGTGAGTCGGGAGGTTTGGAACGGGGGGTGCCCTCACTGGTTTCCCCCAAATCGACCCTTGACACCCCATTTCCTCCAGGGCATATGCACGGATCGGGAACTCCTACCTGCGCGAGGAGCGGTACAAGGATGCCATCCACTTCTACAACAAGTCCCTGGCTGAGCACCGCACACCCGATGTGCTCAAGAAGTGTCAGCAGGTGACGTGGGGGGTGCAGGGAGAGGGGGGCAGCCCTCCTGGGCACCCCTGAACCCCCTAATTGCTGCCACAGGCTGAGAAAATACTCAAGGAGCAGGAACGCTTGGCCTACATTGACCCTGATCTGGCACTGGAGGAAAAGAACAAGGGCAACGAGTGCTTCCAGCGAGGTAGGGGGGGGCTCTGGTGGGCTGAGGGGGTCCCGCCCTGTGTTTGGGGGGTGACAACAGGTGAGGGGGTGTCCTGTTTTAGGGGATTACCCCCAGGCCATGCGGCACTACAGCGAGGCGATCCGGCGGAACCCGAATGAGGCCCGGCTCTACAGCAATCGTGCCGCCTGCTACACCAAACTGCTGGAGTTCCCCCTTGCCCTCAAGGTACAGGGCTGGGGGTGTCTGAACACTGCATTGAGGGGCTGGAGGCTGGCCTGGGGCAGTAGGAGGGATCTTGGGGCTGGTCTGAGAGCATGGCGCTGTTCTGAGCATATGGGGGTCAGTTTGGGGCTCTTGAGATGGCCCTGAACCTTCTTTTTCCTACAGGACTGTGAGGAGTGCATCCGCCTGGAGCCCACCTTCAGTGAGTGGGGGACACAGGGGGGAGTGCTGGAGGGGCTAGGCCCTGCCCTTTCTTTCCTTTGCCTTCAGTTATCCCTAACTGTAACTGTATTGCTTTGTCTTTGCTTCACCTGTACCTCTGTCTGCCTTCACCTGTACCCACGTATGTCCACCTCTCACCTGTACGCATGTGTTCTTCTCTCACCTGTACCTTTGTGCATCCCCCCACCCAGTCAAGGGCTACACGCGGAAGGCAGCGGCGCTCGAGGCCATGCGTGACTACACCAAGGCCATGGAGGTTTATCAGCGTGCCCTGGACCTTGACCCCACTTGCAAGGTTAGCCTGTGACCCCCTGAACCCCTGCTGACCCCTGTGACCTCCTGTGTGCCCCTGCTTACCCAGGACCCCCAGTGGCACTGCAGGGCCTGAGAGGACAAGCAACTTGTGACCTCCATGACTCCCCAGCCCCCTGTAATCCCCAGGAGGCAGCCCAGTGGCAGTGGCAGTACCTGGGGGTGC